CACATTGGAGATCTGGGTATAACATTAGCTACAAATATAGGATCCAGAACCACACTACTCAGGTTCACATGTCACTTTTAGCAAAAAGGATAGTGATAATAATAATGCCTATGGTTGCTCAGAGTATTAAATAATATAATCTTTGCAACGTTAATACAGAAAAAGTAACACAACTATAGAACCAGCAGGTAAATCATAAAAGGTTCACTATATGGTACATGAAGCTTCCCTATTCCTCCAGCTGGGAGACTGTAATAGTATAGTAAATAATTTCCAAAAGAAAAAAATAAGTAGTTCCAAAGACACAAGGCTGTTCATAGTTTACATAAATGCGTACCCAGTAGCGTACCCTTACTCCTATCACTAACTATGCACTTTGAGGTAAGTTAGTTGATTCTCACGGGCCAAAATTTATGTCCCTGTGATATGTGCTTTTGTAAATTATATTACAGTCATAGTATTTAAGTTCCAATCATCTTCATAGTGCTAGATTCTAAAAAGAATTGCAATATGTACTTGACCCAACTAGATGGCAGTATGTAGCTTTTAAGTGGCTATCTTTCACAGTCATTTAAAGATGCCTAAAATCACGTAAGTATTTAAGGGTCACCAGATAAGGAAGAAAGAAAGACTGACATTACCTAATTCCTCATATAGTACCCATAACTAATATTTATAAGTTAAGAAGAATAATTTTTCTGCAGTTCTCTTTACAGAAGCCTGGCAGAGGGTCCTCAGCCAAAGGAGCCTGCCTTTCACTGAATGACACTGAGGATTCACTGTATGTTTTATCACACCTCGTAAAGACAGAAGAGAGGATTTACAGAATTGCTTCACAAAGTGGCAAGAAAAATTGGTTAAGTGTGTTTGAAGTGAGAGAGAATTGTGAGGGAGATTAATGTTTTTTACTGTAATAAACTTCCAAATTTAAGCATCAGTTGCATATTTTGGTCACACTCTGTACTCATCAAGCAGTAGACATTAAATATGAATGTCTTTTCTTTCTTTTTTTCTTTTTTGAAACAATCTCACTATGTAGTTCAGGCGGGCCTAGAACTTGCAGCAATCTTCCTGCCTCAGCCTCCCAAGTGCTGGGATTTATAGGCATGAGCCACATGTCTGCCCAGCCTGTATGTTTTCTCATATGTCAATACACCTCAGTAGTGTGACTGTTTTTTATAAAAACTCCCACAAGGGCTAAATGATGAGACTAGATGTTCTCTAAGGCCCCCTCCAATTCTGAGTTTTCTATGATTAAAATGAACACTGTTGGCTAGTATCAATAAGGAAAACTGGCCTGATAAAGACTGAGCAATTATACCTCTTTGGAGAAATGTATCTTTCCTGCCCTAAATACCTCCATTCCCTTTGTTTCTCATATTTGAATCCCCTTCTCATTACTTAGTATAGGAATTTTAGCTCTCAGACTCCCTACACACGCTCTTTTCTCGTACTGTCCTATCCTGGAGTTGATTTAAAATACACACAAGGATTTCCATCATTCATACGTGTATCATAATTTTTAATTTGTGTGCTATAGTGTCCTCTTCTCTTCCCCCTTGGGCCAGCATCTCTGATAGTAAAAGTAGATGCTTTTTGCTGCTAGCATCTCACCTGTGTTGAGTGGCAGGAAAGCACTATCTGTGGACTTAAAAGATCCAGGGGATAGTTCACCAGAAACCCTCCTCCATTTAACAGTGGAGAAAATTTTAGGCATCCAACTCCCCACTTCCACCTCTGTTGACTAGGAAAGACATTTGCATGTAAGGGGCATTTCTAAAGTGGCTACTGGTAGATTTGAATCTGTTTGGAAAAAAAATCCTAAGAAATTAACCCCATTCCTCCAACCACACATTCTGTGTTTAAAAAGAAGTTAAAGTCTAATGATAAAGTGAATAATGCTAAACCAACTGCAACCTTTAAAGATGCAGGAAGGATAAAAATAGCACCAATTCAAACGATAAAAACAAAAGACTGTAATATTAAAGTCTTGTCAATACTTCATGTAATATTTTGAAAGGCATTATAATTAGAAATAACATACCAAACGAGAAGTATGTGCCATGGTACTCTTTCTAATCCTAAAAAAAAATCTTCAGATGTACATCACTAGTTACCAGCGCTAATCATTTTTCTCAACCTCAACATTATATATACAGTTTAGCTGACTCACATGAAATTTCTAAAATATGACTGTTTTTGACCTACAAAATGAAAAGGTTGTATAACTCAACCTAGTAATACCCACTACTTAAACCTAGTAATACCCACTATTTAAATATAGCCTTCTGGGAGTGGGGAGAGAGCTCAGAGGCACAGCACCTGCCTGGCAATTACAAGGTCTTGAGTTCGATTCCCAGTTCCAAAAATAAGTAAATAAATAAAGTCTTCTGTTAGCTCGATTTTCATGAGATAAAGTATTGTCAAATAAAAATATCTCATTTTAAAAGTTTGTAAACATATGAATCATACACACACATAAAACATAAAGCCAACAGATACTGTGCAAAAGGAGAGTAGCTTTTAAAAATATGATGCCTTAATTTGCAAATTCTAATTAGCATGTGAAATGTAATTAATAAAATTCTCTGTGCTTAATAACATTCCCCAATAGATGATCAAGAATACCAAGAATTAAAAGAGTCTATTGGTGGCACTACAAAGTCTGATTATGAAATCAAATTTGATGGTAATTTGTTAACTATTACCATATACAACAATAATTTCATCAATTTCAAATAAAGAGATATCTGAAACGGGTTAATTCATTAGGTATAACCTTATTTTTCTTTTTAAAAAAAGAGCAATATCAGTTTATCTTTTTGTTGGAATGAAACTGAGATTTATTGTTTGAAGAGGCAGATGGCAAAATCAGACTAGATGATATGCAGAAACTGTACTTGATCATGAGGTCATTCTGTCCTAGTTTCTTTACCTTTTTTTTCATACATTCCAGCTTTCTTATGGAGTTTCTGAGTCTTAATATTATACACAGTTAAGTTAGGTAGAAATATTACAAGCGGTGTATTGTTGTTTGTGTCTGGATGTCCCCCTAAAGCCTCATGCAGTCAGGGGGTGGGCTTCCGGAGTTTTTTTGATCCATGGTCCAACGCTGGGATTATGAATGTGAATGCTACATCCGCCCTGGGGCAGGTAGTTTGCATACAATAAAAGGGAGGGAAAGATCTTGCTCTCTACCCCTCCTCCCTTTTGGCTCTGGTTGCTTTTGCTATGTTCTGCCTCCATGAATGGTTGCCCTCTGCCATGTGCCACTCTGCCTTGGAGCCAGCTGAGTATGGATTGAAACCTCCACAAACTGTGAGCTAAATAAACCTTTCCTTTCTTAATTTTGGGCATTGGGTATTTTTTCTCAGCAACAAGAGAACACTGATTAAGTCACAATGAGACAGGGTTACACTTTTGAAGGAGTCAGTGCAGAAGATAAGAACACATTAGAACTATGGTGGGAAGCATTTTCCTTGAAGCTCAGGCCTCAAGATAAAGATGACTATACCTACATACATCCCTCAATAATACAATAATGATCCATATTCTACATAGGCATCAGTCATCGGTTGTGGGAATCAGGACCTCTTGACCTATCCCTTCCAAAAAAGGTCCTTATTCTTTCCATATACACTCATTTTGTGGCTTGCTTCGCATTGGATCAATATTACCTAAACAGCTGTACTTGTACTTATTTTTTTTTTGTACTGGGAATTGAACTCAGGACGCTGTGCTTGCTAGGAAGGTGCGTGTGCTGCTGAGCTATATCCTTGGCCTATACTTGTACTCTTATTGGTTGATCCTATCTTTTGTCTCTTGTACCTACCTTGTGATTTTGTACCTAGTTCATAATTTTGCTCTATAAAACTTTCTTTAAGAAGTGGGCTTGTGGACAAACCACTTTCCAGGTCCCCTCCTATCTCTCTCAGGAGCTCTCTCTCCCTCAATAAAATTTCCTGCTCTTAACCTTCACTGTTCCTCAGAATTCATTCTTTGATTTTGGGGAACACAAACACAGTGACATCTAGCAGCTTGGGAGTTATAAAACTGCCCCATATCCACTGGAGTCCTACATCACTATAGCTCCTTTCTTTGCCCTAATCTAGTGATATTGAAACCTAAAATGAATGCTCCCTAGGAAACAGGAAGATCTGACAATTTAAGGACAAGACTACACTGTTCAGGGAAACTTCCTACTTGTCATTTCTCAAGTTGATAAAATGAAAACTGAGTCCTCCATTACATAAATCAAAATTTCTCCAGTTGACAAAACAAAAATTATGCTTTCTTTAAAAATTCTCTGTAACAGTTCAATAGTTTCTCTCCATAAGCATTCTAAAGTAGTGATACCAGACTTGCTCAGTAACATATATTCTACTTATCATCAACCTGTTATATCACTCCTTAAAATAATTTTTTTTTATTTTTAGTATGCAACATTTTTCTTTTTTTATTCAGACAAAAGAATTACTTTTGAATTTTAGCTCCTTTATTATAATTTTGGCTGTTTTACCACAACGTGCCCTCACCCCTTCTCTTGTATCTCTTTTTCACGTGCCCTCACCCCTTCTCTTGTATCTCTTTTTCACAATGGGGCTAGGCAATTTCCTCATGCCAAAATAAATACTTGGAAGGCCATCCGGAGAACAAAACTGTTTGAAACAAAAAGAACCCAAGCAAGAACTAGTATCATAAAAACCTTTTTCTCTCTAGAATGGTCACAGAAAGATTGTTCTCACTTTAGGTCACACCACTGTACATCAATACTGACTTCTTGAAGGCAAAGGCAATAAGAAAAATGTTCAACTTTTAACTGGTTAAAAATTTTGATGGGCTTCACTTTGGCTAGGCTAGTACCAACAACTGTGCTATAAGAGGTCTGTAAGAGATCCAAATCAATGAAGTCTACTCTTTGTCGTGAGAATTATATCAAACTCATATTCTATCACAGGAATTCTATTCCTTTAGGTAGGAACACCGAAAGGTAGACTCACAGTTAGCAAAGTCCCCTTGAAGCTGCAGAATCTGAGGAACTGGCATTGTGAGGACAACAAAATCAAACTGCTCAGGGGAGCCTGTTTCATTGAAGACTTCCCATTTGCCATTTCTCAGGTTGATCTGAGTCACACAATGTCTGAAGTGGACTTCCGCACCTGGTCCAAAAACAAATCATGTTCAAATCATTAAGGTTTTCCATATGAATCAAGGAAAAGAGAACTGTCCTAAACTGGGCCCATCCATGTGAACAAAATGATCACGTGAACTGATCAAATTGTCTTCTACAGTCTCCAGGGTTCTCTTCCTTTACTTTCTTTCTAACTTAGTGGCAATTTCTCATCCCACTCCAGCCTCACCCTCTCCCCTGGCACACTGGGACCTCTGGGCCAATGCTCTGACTGAAAAACTATTTCTACGATTAACAATAATAACAGCAATAGTAACTACAGCTATCTTTCACTAAAAATCTACTAAATGTTAAGTACTTGATATATATTTTATCAATTTATCTCACAGATAAAAACTTATGACATTGAAAAATGTCTGGTGATGATTTGGAATTATGTTCAGCTGACTCTAAATCTCGTAATCTTTGCAGAGCAATTTTACATACATTTCAGTAAAAGTGTTAGCAATTAATTCTTTCTAGTAGGATCAAGAGGAGAAATATTCCCTATTAAAGGAACTAATATCCAGTTAGAGGACCTGAAAAAGGTCTGTGTAAGAGCAATGTAAGTTCTCACCAACAGATAAATACCTTCATTAAGAAGAATCAAAACTAAGAGAAACACTGAATACCTTTGCACATTTTCCTTCTTAGCACTTATGATAAAGGTATTTTAATTATTTGCCCAATTCATTTGATAATTATCTTTGCTTTTAATCTCCAAATCCCGTAAGTCACAAATTATGACTATTTGGTTTCTATGTATAGTAAACAGGATATACAGCTGTTATTGGCACATACTACATGCTTAACTAAATTTTTTTTAAAGGAATAAATTATAAATCATAAACTGAAAGAAAGCACAGCTGGGTCATTAAGTCTCCTTAGTGCTAATATCTCAAATTTCAGTTTTGGAGAAACTTTGATATAAAAACGAATCTATTTTTATTCAGCCTCATGCATAAAAGAAAAGAAATGATAGTAGAATGAGGAATACAAAAGCACATTGAAAGATACTGTTCATCATTTCCTGGGACGTTTTATGTCTGTAGTCACTAAAAATCCAGTCCTACCTTTTCCATTAAACTTCCTTTCTGCAGCTACCCTTGGTCGATATGATTCTTCCTGTTCATGAGGTCCTTTAACTATCACTGCCTTTACTACTCATTCTAACATCAATTCAAAGTATCTGCATGCTTTAACTGTGTCTTATCTTTTTTTTTTTTTTTTTCCGGTACCAGGAATTGAACTCACGACCTTGTGCTTGCCAGGCAGGCGCTGTGCCACTGAGCTAAATCCCCAGTCCCATAACTGTGTCTTATCTATCCAACAGTACTCAAGGATCTTCACATCAGGTCCCAGATCTCAAACTCCTTTACCTCCTTCCTTTTCCTTTGAATAATGCTATACAGTAGTATGCATTCAAAGTAGATTAACCTCCATTTGCAGCAATAAGCATCATTCTGTTCAAAGATTAAAGCAAGGTCTTAAAAACAGTGTTCCAACTTGCCCAAGATGTTTACATTTGGAGAAGGTGCAAATAATTTGCCACTTTCAACTCATATTCACTGTTTTTTTTACTCCAACCAGAGCGGCTCTGCATCACTCTGTTTTATTTATTTAGGATGTCTCCTTCCACTTACCTCACTTACTCACTTAGTCCATAGGCTTGTCCCATACCTCAATGAAATCTACTCATTCTGCTTTCGTTATTTGTAGTTCCATCCACAAAAATATTCCTTTGTGAAAAGCATTCTGTTACTGTTGCCAATGCAACTGTGTGCTTAAAGGGCATTAAAATCCACTGGCCTAGATAATTCTCCATACCTCAGCTGAATGTCTTGGAATGAATCCTAGTGGCCATACAGTGTTCTGTAGGTATACTTCAGTTGCTCTGTAAATGTAAAGTCCAGATCAGCAGCTACAGCAGCAGCTAGTGGGTTGTTGAATCATACCAAATCATACTGAATCAGAAAGTTCAGCCATTAGGCCCAGTAATCCACATGTAATAAGCCTCTCAGACAGACTTTGTACCATGCATGCTAATATGTGAGAATCACCAGAGTGGACAGACAGACTCATATCTAACACCACAACTGAGAAAACATGCATCCCTTCCACAAGTATTTACCAAAAGGTAGGGGAAATGGTGCAGCTGCTCTTATCAACCAAGAATTTTTCCTTTCCAGCTGCTAGGATTAAAGTTTTTGGGAAAGACGCATTTCCTTGTGAAGTAATTCATAATTTTTATAGAAGACCATGTGTTAAAATTTAAAGGCCCAGGAAGTTTTCTTTTTAAAACAGAGAGCAATATAAGTTCTCTCAGGACACTTCTGACCTGACAATCTGACCATGCACTAACTTCTTGCGTAAAACCCTTCAATGGCTTCCTAGTGCGCCTGAAGTCTAAAATCCTTCACGCTGCTTGCCAAACCCTGCACATCTATTTCTGCCTTATCTTGGACTTCATCTCCTACCATTGCTCTTCAGTCCTTGAAAGCTCTTGGAGCCTCCTCCTACTTCAGAACAGCTCCAATTTGATGCAACAAATGCATAGAACTCTCAACCCTCAGCACTTTGCCCAGTTTATTCTTGCTTATTTTGCAGGCATTCATGGAACGTCAGTCCTTAAGAGTACTTCCCCTAGCTCATCTTGCTCTCATTCCCTGAATATGTACACTGGCTTAGGTCTACTCTATTCCATGCTCTCTCATAAGGCCTCACTGGTGGTTCCTAGTACTTATTCTATACCTTTTTTTACATGTACAATTAATATAGTGTCACCCCCATGCACCCACTACACTCTATATTAATAGAGGCAGGGACCATGTCTCTCGTTTGCCACTGTTTTCCCAGCACATGATATTTAAAAAGAATTTAAAAGTCTGCAAATAAATATAAAGATACTATAAGTCTAAGGTTTAAACATTTTATTAAAAGTAAATGTGTTTCTACTATGTATTATTCAACTTTTCTCAACCTTCCTCCATTTTAAGAAGGAAATCCAAAGTAATTTTTCTCCTATAATTTCCCACAAATAGGGTTTAGTGAGCAGTTGCTGGAACTGCTAAGATGGCACCTGAAGAGATGTGAACAATGTCTCATTAAATACATTGTTGAAGGTAAATAAATCATGCTTCACTACCGTTTGTGTGTGACCACCTAGCTTCTCTCAAGAGGACATTACTGTGAATGTGTGCCACAATCCTCTGCCTCGGAGGAATTCTAAGAAAGAACCACACAGGCTTACTTCGCCCACATCAGTTTCAAAAAGAAAGTAAAATGGGAGAAAACAGTAAGAGTAAATATTACCAGACAAGTCACTCTAGTTAATAGTATCTGTACATAAAACCATTTGTTCTAATAAACTGATCCTCTTCATTTTGACAAGTAATAGTGTACATGTTGACTTTCTACATTACTAGTCAATATTCCTTATAAGATAGACAAATTAAAACAAGTAGGGCTGGGGATATAGCTCAGTGGCATAGCACCTGCCTGGCAAATGCAAGGTCCTGAGTTCAATTTCCAGTACCAAAAAACAAAAACAAAAACAACCCAAATAAATACAATAGTCCTCCCCATTGGTAAGCCAACCAAATAAAAGATTCTCACCCTGTGTCCTGGAGGTTAAACCATCATTTTATTAATTATGTCAGAACTTTATATAATTTGAGGCATTATTCAAAAGCAAAAGGACTTGGCTCATCACTCTCCAAATATGTTAGGCAGGAACCACAAGGTGACCAATTGCTCAGATTTCATGAGGAAATGAGGTGGCATTGTTCTTTAACTGTTCCTTTCCAGGGGCAAGGACTAACCTATAAAAGAGGGAAACTAGAGGAATAGGGCACTATGGAGTTGTATTTTTGAGCCACATATCTGTCAAAATGACAGGATGAAATTAATCTTTCACAATGTGGAAAAGAATTTTAAAAAGAAAAAGGAAAGCCCAGTGTTGTGGTACACATCTGTTGTAATTCCAGTACCCTGGGAGGCTGAAGCAGGAAAAACAAAAATTCAAAACTCACCTGGGCAATTCAGCAACTTAGTAAGATTTTTTCTCAAAAGATACAGTGGTGGACATTGAAATGTTTCTTCCAGAACTATTAAAGAGTCAAGAACATCTCTTCAGTGACATTAAAACACCCAGTGAAGACAACTTTGTGTACACCTTCTTGAAGCTGCACATCACTTGCTGGTCCATGGGCTGTAGAAGAGGTGTTGCGTTCGGGGAGAGGAACTTGACCGTTATGAAGTGATACTCAGAGTCTACATCATCCACCAAAGCTGGAGGGTACAGGGATTGTCCACCAGAATAAGGCCCCTTTCAGACAGCTGGCTGTCAGAAAGATGTTTCTTAATGGTGGGTGCAAACACCTCATGCAGCCATACCATGAACAACTGCCTGGAGACCCAGGCTTTCACACTGGCCCTCCATATTACAGGCAGTCTGGCCTTGTTCACACTCTGTTCCTTGAGTGCACAAGGAATGGGAATAGTGCACCAGTAGTGGGTTAATTTTCAGATCCATGATTCCATTCACACACAGGAAAAGGGTCAATCTGTCCTTCATTGTGCCCCAGCAGTGCCTTCTCCTATATGATACAGGTTCTTGGCATTCTTCCATTTCATAGCAGTTGAATACTTGCTGAGTGCTGTATCCCTCTGCCTTCATGAATTTCGTGAATTCATTCTGGTAGGCTTCCACAGTGTCCTTGTCTGTACCAGAAGCCTCACCACATCTTATTAAACTGTAGATGCCACTTCTCTTAGAGAATTTATCAAACTATCCCCTACTGGCTTTAAATTCATCACTTGTTGCACCTGTAGAGAGATTTTCTTGCGGCAAATCATTGTGCAACTTCCTGGCTTTTTCAGAGATTACAGCTTCACTCATGCTATCACCTGCCACTGTTTCTCATTCAATCACACCAAAAATAGGTTTTCCAAATCTTCCAGCACTTTTAGTGTCTTCTGCTTGGTTAATATAGTTACTCCTTCTGCCACATCAGCTCCTGTGATGTAATCTTCATTCCTCAAAATAGTCAAGATTGTTGACGTTACTATCTTGTACTCAGAGGCCAGGTCAGTCACATGAATACAATATTCATGCTTTTCTACAATGTTCTTCTTCAATGTAATGGTTATTTTCTTCAAAACCTTCATGCCATTCTTGCTCTGCATGTTCTTGTCACCTTCATCACCACTCTGAACTTTCTTTTTACCACCATGTTTGCTGTGCACTTTCTTTGGAGCCATGCTGTACTGAATAATTCTGTACCGGACTGGAAGTACTAAAAAGCACACAAAAAAGCTCCACAGCAAATGTGCACAGGCCTGTCTTCAACCAAGATCGTGACTAGTGCAAGCCATGACCACATGTCAGAGTGGGGAACATGGCCAAGGTCATGCTTATTACCCAATTTGGAGTTCACTAACAGAAGCAAAACTTGGCTGAATGCTTCTATTCAGGAACAGAATTGTTCCTGAACAGAAGCGTTCATGAACCAACATATTCCTGTATCTCCAAGCTATTTATATCAACTATACATATTAAAAGTCCATATCATTTCACCTATCATGTACAAGTTTTTGTGTGAGCTACTTAAAATTAAAAATGATCTCTACTCCCAAGAACTTCCAAAGCAAAATAGAAAGATAAAACACATTGTATTCTCCCAAATATCTAAGAAAATAAGGAAATAGATATAACTTATTCAAGGAACGTTTTTCTGCCAGAAAATCAGCCCCAGGAGGCAGAACTTTGGTTCTTGTATCACTGGCACCTAAAACATGTCTAGCATATAGTAAGCATTCAATAAATGTTTACTGAATGAAAAGATATATGTATGTATGTATGCATGCATTCATTCACGTTTATATAGTCCTTAAATATTTAAGGACTTCAGTAAGCATACACATATCTAACTTGGGTCAAATTAAAGTCATAATGGAAAAATGATTTTTAAAATTGATATGCCTATACTATATAAAGCAGATAGTGACATTTCACAAAATGTTCGCTGATGTCATTACCTATGATGGTTAATTTTATGTGTCAATTTGACTGAGCTAAGGACTGTCTAGATATTTAGTAAAAACACTATTCTGAGTAGGTCTGTGACAGTGCTTTTTAGAGATGACATTATATTTAAATTTTAGTAATGCAGATTGCCCTCTGTATTGTGGGTGGGCTTCATCCAATCTGTCGAAAGGCTAAATAGGACAAAAAAGGAGAATTCTTGCCAGGTGTGGTGGGGCATGCCTGTAATTCTAGTACTCAGGAGGCTGAGGCAGAATGATCACTGCAAGTTCAAGGCCAGCCTGAACATATAGTGAAACATGGTCTAGAAGGAAAGAAAAGAAAAGAAAAGAAAAGAAAAGAAAAGAAAAGAAAAGAAAAGAAAAGAAAAGAAAAGAAAAGAAAAGAAAAGGAAAGGAAAGGAAAGGAA